GCACAAGAACAAGTAACCTGTATATGAACTCATGTAAATATTTTATGTTTTTATTGTTATCATTTTTTTTGCAACACATGTTGACATTTCTTTGCCCCATTGTACTTGTAATTTATCATTGAATATTTGCTATCAATGTATATTATGACAGAATAACCTCAGATAGGGGAGCCCTGATAAAGTGTATGTATTGTATTCTACTTGGTGTCCAGGACCCAAACAATTGAATCCGTCAAAGGTTAAATTTTTTTTAGCCTTCCTTATTGCAATTGCTTGAATTGCAACTCACCTGGTAGCATCTTTGTTTTACTTGATAACTGTTGAAAATATGCTTTTCATTGAGATAACCTCTTTGAATTGTTTAAGATATGATTAATGACAATGGAAATCTTTTTAAAGTTGAGGAATTCCAAATTACAATTTAAATAAAAACAACTCTCTTCCATATTTTTAACTGATAGCAGCATTTCCATCAGATTTGAAAAAGAAAGCCCAAATGGCTAAAACTCCTGAACCAGAGCAACAGAACACTAGGGCAGTTTCTTGTAAGTCCCAGTAACTGAACAGGTGTAAAGCCATAATTTAAAATCAAAAGTTAGCGATAGAGAAGCAAGGTCTAGCACCCTAAAAAGTCCAGGGCAACCCTAAAAGCCAGAATGGTGGAATAGTGGAAAATGACCTCAAATCCTAAAACACGGAACAGCAGAAAATGACCCCAAATGCTAAAACACGGAACAGATGTTAGGGCATGTTGCACGAATTTTGTACAAAGACACTCAAGCACTTGGCTCATTTATTCTCATGACGATAAAGCGCATGACTAAAATTAAGTATTATTAATTATTTTTCTTTTACTGACTGGTATGAATAATAATGAACCATTATACATGAAAGATACACCTATAGAAAAAATTAAAAAACCAAATAAGAATTAATTAGCCATGTGATTTACATTTGTGTATTTTAATAATGGGGAGCTTAAGCAACCCCAACGACGAATGGAGGATGACGACTGCAAGTAGCGAGAACCTCACTGCGCAAGCGCGAACCAAGAATTCCGTCGTCTTATCATCGACGAGTTGAGATGGACCAGTTGCACCTTGTCGTGAACTTCTGAACTTCAAAGCAGTTTTTCTCATCAAAAGGTGTGGCTTTATTGTCGTTTTTTTGACAGTCTATGGCCGGTTGGAGTTTGTATTTGCTTCTTCGGTTGATTTAAACCTCAGTTCAGTTTTCTAAACAAATAAAATTCGAAAACCCACTAATTCATTTTCCTTCCTCCGCACAACAGATGTCAAGTCAAGCAGTGAAAGCGACCACCTTAGGTTTAAATTTATTTGAGTATATTTTATGACAGAGTGCTGTTTATCATTTGTATTGAATGAAAAGGTTTAAATGACAGTGCAATACGCCTCTGCGTTCGGTCAAAAGCTGTGTGTATGGAACTGCTGGTTTATTGCTGCTAAAACATTTTGCGTGTTGCTGTTCTTCCATCGAGACACTTTAAACAGCAAAGAATTCTTCAGATCGGTGTGTCAACATGAGTTTAAATACCTCTCAGGTTTTGCAAATCTATTTTTGAAATGTTTGATAAAGATCTAGATTTACAGCCATAAAAATTATTCCAACAAAATCACACGGGAAAAAATAGTATTCTTGTGTGAAGCGCGACGACTGATCTGTGCCGATCGCTAGCTAGCATTGACTAAATTGACAGACTTGTGTCATTTGCCCGCCAAAGGAAGGAGCATCAAAGGTAGAACATATAAGGCTAACGCATGTTGAAAATCAGGCAAGCCTTGGGCAAAATAGGTTTGTTTATACCAGCAACACTTAGAACTGAATTTAAATCTCATATAACTTCCGTAAAATTTATATTTTA